ATATGCCTTAAGATGTCATATTGCTTTTGACATTTTTTAATAAAGCAGTTCTAGTTGTAAGAAACTATTAGTTTTTGAGGAAAATCTTTATCTTTTTTGAAGAGTAGTCTTTCTGGGCACAGTTTTCTTGGCTGACAGGCTACTTCTTTCAGAGTTTTATTTATTTATTTATTTTTAATTGAATTTATTGGTGCATTGGAGGTATACAGTACAGTTACATTCATTATTGGGATCTTGTACCTTTACATGACAGGCCTTGGTTCTCATTTTTTCCCCTTGTCCCTGCCCTACCTTCACCCCCTCCTTTTCTCCCCATTTACAAATACTTTATTTCCATTTTTTCATTTTCTCATATTTTTTTCTTTTCCCTTATTCCCTTTCCCCTTCACTTCCCACTTCCCCTACACCTTTAGCCCTTTTCTTCCTATTTCACATTGTTAATTATCTCATTAGGATCTTGTGTATCATTATAGTTTTTCACACCAGAGAAACTATTCAGTATTTACACATGTGTGATTTATTTATTTCACTCAGGAGTATATTCTCAAAATGTATCCATTTTCCTATGAATGGCTCTAATTTCTCATTCTTTATGGCTGAGTAGTATTCTATTTTATAGAAAAACTGCATCTTCTTTATCTAGTTTCCAACTGATGGGCAAATAGGCTGTTTCCAAGGTTTAGCTATTACAAACTGCTGCTATATATCAACCTACTCCTTTGTGGCCTCAAGGTTTTTGTTGAAAATTTGGTAATAATCTTGTACTCTTTTTAAGTTTTCATGTTTTATTTTCATCAATGACTTGAAGCACTTTGTAACTTCTCATGTGATTTTTTTGTGTGGCCTCTGACTTATGTAGAAGTTTATTTCTTTTTTATGTTGTATTTTTTTGTTGTTTGTTTTGAGATGGTATCTTGCTATGTAGTTCTGGTTTGAGTTTGTGATGATCTTCCTTCCTCAGCCTCCCTACTACTGGGATTACAAGTGTGAGCAATGAAACCTATCTTAGAAATATATTTCTTAATTTCCAAATACTTGGCCTTTTGTAATTATGTTTTTGTTAAAGTATGCAAGACTGTTTAGCTCAACATGAAATGAAATTTGTAAATATTCTGATGTATACTTGAAAAGACATATGTAATCTTTTGATGTTATATCAATGTTCCACATATATTAATAAGCTTAATTTGTTAACCTGTTGTTTCAAATGTTTTATATATTTATTGATGTTTTTGTTTTTTTTGTCAGTTACTAAAATTTTATATGAACTATTTCAGCTTTAATTTCTCACTACTATCCTGTCTATCCTGTTTACATGTATATTTTTAAGTCTCCTATCTATAACTTATGTATTCATGGTAAATTAATAGTTTTATAACTATGAGATGCCCCTGTGTATCTCTGTTTTGGTTTGTATCTAGATGCTCCCCCAAAGCCTTATGCAGTCAGAAGTGCCTCTTTTTGGAGGTGGCCGGATCTAGAGTGTATGGTACTGGGATCAAAGATATTATGCTAGGATTGATTGATGGTGTGATGCTAGGATTAAGGCTACCTCACCCTGGGTATGAATACTGTCCACCCTAAGGGTGCATATAAGTATATAAGGGACAGAAAGAGAGTCATTACTTGTTGCTCTTCACTTGCTGCTTTGCTGTCTTCTGCCTACCAATGGACTATATTTCTTTGCTATGCCCCTCTGCCTGCATTGGAGCCAGCCAACTGTAGATTTAAATCTCTACAATTGTGCATTGAAATAAATGTTTCTTTCTTGAACTTTAGGTGTCAGGTATTTGGTTTTAGCGATGAGAAAAATAACAAAGACAACCTCTGATGCTACCTCTTGTCTTAAAGACTCACTTTTCTGATATTTTCACAGCCACAGCAATTTCTTTTTAATGTTTTTATCTTTCACTATTGATTTTCCTTTACTTTTACCAATGCCTTTATGATTTTGATGATTATCTTATACATAGGATATAAATGCTTTATATAAAATCCAGTCCAGCAGTTTTTGTGCTTTTATGTAGAGTACTGGAAACACTCCAATTTTATATATTAAGCTAGTTGGTACATCTATTTTTCTCTTCCTGCCTTCTCTGTTTCTCATTATGTATTTTTCTCATCTTAAATTTGAAAAATTGCTTCTTATTATTCACTTAGGAAATTGGTTAGTAGCTATGTAATCTTCTCCTCTAAAAATATTATATATTAATTTTAATATATTTTATAGTATATTTCTAGTTCTGCATCAAAATTCTCAGTTTTGGCTTTGATCTTTTTAAATATATCACCTTCTTGTGGAAGGTTATTTTAAAGCCTATACTTTACAAATATAGTATCTGTGCAACCTGTACAACTATGAATTATTTGTTTACATCCTGTTTTTTGTGATACTTTTGTATGATATGATATCTTGCCTACATTTTCAATGAATATCAAACACATATGTAGAAAATATGATAAAAACATTTCCAAGACTGTGATAGTAATTTACATCTATCTGTGAATATGATAAGGGTCACTAACAAGCACATTCTTCCAATTACAAGTATAGAAGTGATTTAAAGGAAGGCTTCCAAGGATGGGAAGATTTGCGGTTTAGTCTTCTAATGGGGTATCATGCATTGGGTTCACAGTTCAGAGAATACATTGTTCAGCAAGGTTTCCTGGTGTCCAATTTTTGTTCCTTCATCCTTGAAGGTATATGAAAGATTTGCACAGCTTCTTAGCAGCTCTCCCTAAGTAAGCAAATGACTATCATGGGAAACCTGCTAGGATGTTGCTGTATCTCTTACTTCCTTCTAGATTTTTGTCCTGTAATTCTTTGTTTCATTACAAGCTGATTGAAAAGTTTGTGTAGCTTTAATAGGTGTTGTCAGGAGAAGTCTTTATTTCTTTTACTTAATACTGATTTTTGGAAACAAAAACATGCTTTGAAATATAACATACACACCACAGGACAGTGACAGCCATAGAATTATGCTAAGGAAAGTGTTGGTTCCAGTCCTGTTTCCCCCTCTTGTTCCTAGACAGCAGTGTAGAAGTTCTAGGAAACATTCCTCCCTAATGCACATCCACAATCAGGGCCTTGGGTCTGTCTTCTTGCTCTCACTCCCAGAGTGACTTAGGTTCACTTGCTGGGGTGAATCCTCTCCTAAGACTGAGACCTTTCTTTTGCAGAGCTGGCATCGTGGATTTGTGTTCATCAATGGATATAACCTTGGGCGATACTGGAAGATTGGGCCTCAGAAGACCCTTTACCTTCCTGGTGTCTGGCTCCATCCAGGACCCAATGAGGTCAGTGACCCAGCCTGTGCCTTGAGATATCATAAACCTTCAGATTATCTTTGTCCTCAGGATACAAATCTCAGTGTCCTTATACTGTACTAAGGAGGCTTAACCTTTCTTATTGTCCATCTTCCCTTTCCTCCCAGATCATCTTGTTTGAGATGATGACGAGTGGTTCATACATCCAATCAAAAGATGAACCTCAGCTGGAATAGTAGATTTTGAAATATTTGTAAGATTTTTGAGTTCAAGTAAAGGTAGTTTTTCAGGAAGAAAATTGATGTGAAGAATATCCACAATTGTATTGCCTGCAATAGCAAATAATAGAGATATCCTTAAATACGAACATGACATTGTCATATATTTTAGAGTGTAGTAATTTTGTGCTTACTTTTGAATTGAATAAATTTTTTACATCTTCAAAAGCTGCTCTAACTACTTTGTCTACACAAATATTTAAAGCCTTTGTGGGTTCTCATTTTCTAATCAAAAGCCTGTATAAAGATATGACCAACAGAAAAACAAATTTTGCTTTTGTCTTCCTATGCTTCTATCTTCCTATAGTCCAGTGTATTCTGGTTTGTAATAATCCAAAAATTGTTCCCTCAGGAGTGGGCCTAGTATAGCCTTTGGTGGATGTCTTGCACTTGGTGGCCCCTGTGATGTATTACAGTTAGCACCATTTGTTTACAGTTGTACTGGTGACTGACCTTGCCTAGTTTCCAGAGGGCATGTCTGACTGTCAGAGGCTGGATGAATTACCTATCTGAAAACCAAGAAGTTCAGGAGAAATACAGATATCTGTTAAATCTCAAGTCCTCCTTTCGACAGCTCCCATCATCTGTGAAAATGATGGGAGTTCCCTCTTCTGTCCTGTAATTGTGAAGGGGAGTGTCCCTTCCTCCTGGCCTACCAATGGCTATTACATTGTGTTCTGGTGAGCACCTGTGAGGATCCACTTGTGGGTCTCCATACCAGTAGAGACTTGGAGGCCATTTATGTCTGGTGCAACTTTGAGCCAGCTTTTTGTACTGTGTCTGCATATTGAGGCTGTATATAGCCAAGCAGCCTGTTTTGCTCCTATTGCTTATGTCAGACACAGAGAAAGCCTTCTGCTGCTTTCACCCCAGTGATGACAGTTGTGAAGTATCTCCCCTCAGCAGTCAGATGGAGGCAACACCCTGTTATTATTGCCTCTGATATTTTGCCTGAATGAGGGCCAGGTAACTTAGGGTCTGTTGTAAATATCTCACTGAGAGATATTCTTACCTTGGACATGTGGATTTTGTCTTCTATATATAATTTCTGCCATTAGGTTCACCAGTGCCATAGAGTGGGGTTTGTCTAGACTCCCCAAGGGTGTTTAGTCCAGGGCATGTAACAAATGCTAGGACAGAATTGTTAGATCTTTTATCACCTTTTTTTTTTATCTTGATAGGTAAAAACCTTAACATATAAAACCCTCTCATACCAAGAATATCTTTATACCTACAACTTATATATTTTTTTCTATCCTACTTAGCTGGTTTCTCTCGGTAACAAGCCCATTAACTGCTTGGATTGCAAAATACCCAAGTACAGATTTTTCACTTGGTATCAGTGTGAATTTATAGATGTTTACATTCAATTTGGGCTGGCTGCCAATAGACTTCCAAGTGGCCTTATATAGCATCCTTACCTTAGCGGAAGCAGAAAGCCCCATAAGAGCAAATTAACCTAGTAACTGCAGTTTAAGAACTACCTCACTGTATAAGAAATGTCTTAATCATACCAATTAAACAAACAAAAAAGCCAGCTCAAATAGGAATCCAAAAGTGAATTTATCAATCAGCCAAAATTTGCCCTACTGGGCTCTTGTTAATTCTTTAAAAGTTGCCAGGTTGTTCCCTTCCTTGGATCTCTAGGAAGGAGCCAACCTCAACTTTGTTATTAGGACCCAGTGCAGGTTGCACATTATTTAAGAACTGTTTTTCCCATTGAAAATGAAAGTTATAATCTTGGTCTGAAAGCACCAGTTTATCTGACAGGAGGCTATGAGAACAATGTGATAGGTGGGCATGGTGGAAAAAGAAAGGTCTAAGGCACAGGAAGAATGTGCCTCAGAAGTGAAGCAAAGAATTAATATAAGACTCTTAGAACTGAGAAGCAGTCAGGGAAAAACACCTGAGGAATTTTTTAATACATTTATTTGCTGCTTTTACTTCTTTGTATGAGTAGTAATAGCAAATAAACATATGAAAAAATGTATATCACTGGTCATTTGAGAGATGCAGATAAAAACAACACTGATTCTTTTAGTTCTCTTGGAAAGATACCATATCACAGAGAAGTATGTGCACCCATGTTTATAGCGGCACAGTTTGTAATAGCTAAATCTTGGAAACAACCTATTTGCCCATCCGTTGGAAACTGGATAAAGAAGTTGTGGTTTTTCTATAAAATGGAATATTACTCAGCCATAAAGAGCGAGAGAATAGATTCATTCATAGGAAAATGGATACATATTGAAGATATACTCCTAAGTGAAATAAATAAGTCCCACATGTGTAAATACCAAATAGTTTCCCTGGTGTGAATATTCTGCAACAATGCATAAGATTCTAATAAGATTACTGACATTTAGAAATGGGAGGAAAGGAGCTAAAGGTGTAGGGAAGGTGTGATACGTAGGGGAAGAACAAAAAGGGAAAAGAAAAAAATGTGAGAGAATGAAAAGATGAAAATAAAGTGTTTGTAGATGGGGAGGGGAGGAGGGAGTGAAGGGAGGGCAGAGGTAAGGGGAAAAAATGAGAATCAAGACTTGCCACGTAAAGGTACATGATCCCAACAATGAATGTAACTGTACTGTATCCCTAAATGTACCAATAAACTCAATAAAAAAAAAAAAAACAACACTGAGATTCAGTCTCACCCCAGAAATAATGGCTGCTATCAAGAAATCAAGCTGGGCATGGTGGCACATGCCTGTAATCCCAGCACTCAGGAGGCTGAGGCAGGAGGATCACTGTGAGTTCAAGACCAGCCTGGGATACACAGTGAGTTCCAGAGCAGTCTGAACTACATAGTGAGACCCTCTCACAAAAATACAGAAAAAAAACCCAAAAAGAAAGAAAAGAGAAATCAACCAATAACAAATGCTGGTGGGGTCATGGAGAGAAAGGAACCCTTCTTCATTGCTGTTGGAAGTGCAGACTGGTGCAACCACTGTGTAAATCAATATGGAAATACCTACAACAAGCAGGATTAGAAGTTCCACTTGACCCAGGTATTCCTCTGCTGGGTATCTTCCCCCCAAAATTAAAAGAATCATATGACAGTGATATATACTCGCCCATGTTTATAGTGGCATAGTTTGTAATAGCTAAAATTTGGAAACAGCCCAATTGCTCATCAATTGGAGAATGGCTAAAGAAGATTTTTAAAAATTTTATTCTTTTATAAAATGCAGTGCTACCCAGCAATTGAAACTACAGACATTTATAGTTAAATGGGTGCACACTGAGGCCATACTCTTAAGTGAAATTAATAAGTTACACATGTGTAAATACCAAATAGTTTCTCTGGCATGAAAAACTAAAAGTGTCAATAAGGATCAAAATGAGTAAGGATCTAAAAGAGTAAAGAAGGTAGGAGGGGTAGGGGAAAGGTAAGAAGGGTAAAGAAAAAATATGTGAAAAGGAAAACCATGGAAACAATGTCTTTGCAAACAGGGAAGAGTGGAGGGGGAGAAGGAAGGGCTGGGGAATGTGGAGAGATAAGAACCAAGATAAGTCAAGTAAAGGAACAAGTTCCCAATGATGAATGTAACTGCACTGTATCCTTAAAATGTACCAATAAACTTAATAAAGATAAAAACCGGGGTCACAGAAAAAGATTATGTTATAAAAACCTTTTGTCTTCCTGTTGCACAAACATAAAACATAAAACTAACAGATGCATACGAATTGTCCTGAGCCTGATGGTGCCTACATTGCTGTGTCCCATATTTTATGGGAGTCAGATACTCCAACTCCAATAGTTTTCAACTCTGATTTGTACTCTCAAGAGTGTGACAGAGAAGATGAGACAGGAAGATATGATTCTCTTTTGTAGTTAGCTTGTGGTTATCTCTGCTCTTAGGGTCTTCTTTCAGTTGGCTGAAGGCCTTTCACATCGTGGCCCACACCCCAACTCCTGTTATCAGAAAGAACAGCTTATGCCAACTCAGCCAGTCTAGACCATCCCTCACTGCTCATGTCTCACTACCTGTCCATGGTGAGACCTACTGAGCCTAAATTTAAATCATTGCACTATACCAAACTCTCATTATATTCAGTGTAGTGCATAGAGGCTTTAGCAGATAATCTGGTATCTCAAGAAAGGAATGATCCTTGCAGTTTAGAATGAAGAGAAAGAAGTCAGATTATTTTCCCTTAGTAATCCAAATGCATCTTACTGAATGAAAATTCCGTCATACACTTACATAATCTCTAAATGAAACTTTATTCCCCAGAGCTATAGGGAACAGATAGACTTGCAGATGTGTTTAACCTGTGTTCTACCTTTTTGTCCTCATTTTTGTTTGAAGAGGAATTCTTAGGTCACATACACAATGCATAACATAATGTTGACAAATGTAAGGATCAAAATTTTCATTTTCAGGGGTAGCATTTTAAAAGGGCAAAAATAAAGTGGGCTACAGGTTGGACACAGCTGTGAGTAGGGGAGGACACAGAAATAATTATCCTGATGATCATTAGGATGTGCTGTGGTCCAGGTAGAACTTCTGGGTCACTGATGAACAGCTGCAGCTGCACCATGCTCCATTCCCAACAAGATAAGAGAGTTCCAGTTTTTCTAATTTCTCACCAACACTCCTTCAAGTTTCTCTTTTTGATTATATGTTTCCTAAAGAGTGCAAAATACTATTTGTGGTTGTGAATTATCTTTCCTTACATTTTTATTCCCTTAAATATACAGTCCAAAACTGTAGCAGTGAATTGTCATTGGTTTTTAAGGTGACAAAATTATCTCTGATTATTCATATGCATGTCCATTTTCATGAAAGAATGGTCAGCAGGGGACATGAACTGCTATCTTTCCCTTACAAGATATGTCAGTGTGGATCAGGAATGTAGCTCAGTGATGCTGTGCTTGCCTGGCAGGCTCAAAGTTCGAGTTCAATCCCTGGTGTGTGTGTGTGTGTGTGTGTGTGTGAGAGAGAGAGAGAGAGAGA